TGGTCACGAGGGAGGTGGCGAGAGAGGGAGGCGTGGCGACTGTCGCGAAGTGTTGCTAAGTCCCACCCTTCCACTGCTGCAAAAAGGGTGTCGTCCAATGCTAGGGTTTCAGGTGATTTCTCCTCGGGGGGTTGGGTTGGAGTGGGGTTACCGCCAGGTGCTGGGGCAGGTGGATGGGCGGTTTGCGCGTGGGTCTGATTGTGGGAGATTGTGGTGGGGTGTGGTGGTGGTGTGGCTGGAATTTCCGATGCGGCGCGAGTTGGTGTTGGTGGACCCCTCCTCACGGATCTCCCAGCGGCAGTCGAAGTCGGTGCCCTGCCTGCTCGAGCAGGAGCTCGTAGCTGCGTTTCTTCCACGGACTCCGAGCTCGAGGTAGAGTCCGTGGATTCAGCAGGTACATAGCTGCCATCTGAGGTGCTACTATCAGTATCCTCAACGATATTCATTAAAGCCCGTCTGCCCGCCTGCTGGTAGACGTTTTCTGGTCCGCCTCCGCGAGCTCTCCCTCCGCCCACGCCCGCGCTCCCCCCTCGTCCCGCAAGTATAACCGCGGGAAGTCGTCCGTCCGCGCCTCGTGCGGCATCCCCCTGTCGGCCTGATGGATCTGCCCGCCGCTCCGGCACACGAGCGTACCGCTGAGAGCGATCCTGCTCCACGTGCGCTTCCTCCCTCGCGGCCTGCTGCGAGTGTCCCTGTCGCCCCATTGATGGCGGCGGAACAGGTCCGCCGCCGCTTTGAGGAGCATCGACGCGAGACGGCGGGCGAGGGGCCCGGCGTGCGCTCCGACGTAGAGGCTGCGGCGCGCCGGGGGCGATCGCCTCGGCGCCGCTCGTCAGTAACGCGCGATTATGGGCGGGTAAGCTCTCTCTCTCTCTCTCTCTCTCTCTCTCTCTCTCTCTCTCTCTCTCTCTCTCTCTCTCTCTCTCTCTCTCTCTCTCTCTCTCTCTCTCTCTCTCTCTCTCGACGAGGCGAGGCGAGGAGAGCGAGGCGAGTTGGAGAGAGGCGAGGCGGAGCGCAATCCACCCCGGGGCCGGATTGGGCGACGCTCTCTCAGGAGGACCCAAGGCGGGGCGGATGTAACGAGGATGGAGCGAGCTCAAGCGTTCCATAACCATGGAGGCTGGATGGATGGTGCTGAAGGACTTGCTGTGGTAGGTGGGTGCATGGTGCTGCTCTGGTATGTGTGTGCTGGACTGGACTCCATGGTGCTCCCGGATTGAGCGACACTCTCTCAGGAGGATCCAAGGCGCGGCGGATGCAACGAGGATGGACGCATCCTGCCACTCATTGAGAGAGGTGAGATGTTTTTGGTGCAACGAGAGTTGTTTGTGGCGCAGCGTGGTGGGATGACGCACGGCCGTCAGTCACTGGCATGTGGCTGCCTCCTACCCGCCCTGCTGACCACCCGCTTGCTGGCGGCTCGCGAGGCGAGGTGGATGGAGCAAGGATGGAGCGAACGAAGCTCGCCTCTGCCCATGCGTGTGCTCTCCCCACCTGCACCCTTGGGGTGAGGTGGAGGTGCGAGAGGGAGTGGTTGATGATGGGTTTGAGGAGGAGGAACTTGGAGAGGGATGATGTCGTATGTGGAAGGGGATTAAAGCTGTGGGAAGAGTGTGTCGGGGTGATCCTTTGATTGGGGGTGGGGCCTCCCTCTCATTGGCTCTCACTCTCCTTCTTGCCTAGCTGAGGCGCGATAAGAGTGTGTCTGGGTGGTGATCCTTTGATTGGGGTTGCCTCCCCCTCTCGTTGGCTCTCACTCTCCCTCTTGTCGAGCGGAGCTGCGGGAAGAGTGTGTCTGGGTGGTGATCCTTTGATTGGGGTTGCCTCCCCCTCTCGTTGGCTCTCACTCTCCCTCTGGTCGAGCGGAGCTGCGGGAAGAGTGTGTCTGGGTGGTGATCCTTTGATTGGGGTTGTCTTCCCCTTTTTCTGGATCTCACTCTCCCTCTTGCCCAGCTGAGCCGCGGTAAGTGTGTGTCGGGATGCGTTGCTTCGATTTGGGCTGGCCACTCCTCTCGTCGCTTCTCATCCTCCCGCTTGCCCCACCATTGGCTCCTCCTCCCTGACTGCAATACTTCAGCACCTTCTTCCTGATAACTCCTCTTTCGGCCTTTGACGCCCTCCTGATCAGCACTCCTCTTTTCGTCAACGCTGGACGTGAGTGCAACGCCCACGACCGCCTTCTCTGGATGTGAGTGCAACATCGCACCCTATTGATCAGCTCTCTGTCCTTCGCCCGTTCTCTCTCCCTTCCCTTAACACCATCACGTGGAGCAAGGAGGCTTCTATCCCCTTCTGTAAGTTTGCATTCCGCTTTTGCTTACACCGTCACGTGGAGCGCACGGGAGGGACGCATGAGAGGCATGCACAACCCCTCTTCTGTCCTTCCTTCCCCTTCCCTAGGTGCACACGGGAGGGAGTGGAGCGAGGAGGGCGAGGAGGCAGCACCGCAGGCAGCATGAGAGGCGCGCACAATTCCCCTTCTCTCCTTCCTTCGCCATCCCCAGGTGTACACAGGAGGGCAAGGAGGCAGCACGACGGACAGCACGAGAGGCGCGCCTTTCAACCCCCCTTCTCTCCTTCCTTCCCCTTCCCTAGGTGCATGAGTGGCGAGCCAAGACTTGAAGTCTTCTGTAAGTTTGCATTTTTTTTTTTTTTTTTCTTCTTCTTCTTTTTTCTTTTTTTTTTTGCTGATGCTGTTGGCTGTTTTCATGTGTTTCAGCTGAAGCCAAGACTTGAAGGCTTCTATCCCCTTCTGTAAGTTTGCATTCCGCTTTCGCTTTGCTTCCACCGTCTAACGTTGTTTGTGTTTGTCTTTTCATGGTGTTACCAGACAGCAAGGCAGGGTCGGAGCTGGGGAAGCGCGGTGCGGAGCAGTGGAAGGAGCGTGCGTGCATGGAGGCCGGTTGGAGCGCGGAGGAGGATGGAGCTACAGCTGCCACCAGCGACCACCAGCTACTGCTGGTCCCTTGTTGACTTCACCACCGATGCTGATGGCCGTGAGTCAAGGGAGGGGGGATTGGGGGCATGGAGTGTGAAAGTGGGTAAGGGGGAAGTGGGGAGAGAGAGGGGGAGATTGGGAGGGGGAGGTGGGGTGGGCGAGGGGTGGGAGTGAATGTGCACGGGGAACGAGCGAGGAAGTCTGCTTGTTCCTGCGCTCACCTTCTGCCACCCCCCTTTCCCCCACCCCCAGACCCACCTTTTCCTGCCATTCCCCCCTCACCAGACTCCGTGTTTCTGCTGTCCCCCCTGAGCATGCACTCGCTCAACCTCCTGTCGGAACCGCGTTGCACCATGGTCGTGCAAATCCCACCTTCCCCTGCCATTCCCCTCATCCCCTCCCCCCCCACCTTCCCAAACTCCTCCATTCGCCCAAACCCCCGCTCCACCAGACTCCGTGTTCCTGCTGTCCCCCTTGGCCAGGCATTCGCGCAACCTCCAGTCGCACCTGCGCTGCACCGTGGTCATGCAGACCCCGGGGTGGAGCGGCCTTGTCAATGCGTGCCACCATTTTTGGGGATCTCTACCCTCTGCCACCCAGCGTGCAGGTAGGATAGCAGGCTAGCCCACTAGCCTGGGGTGGAGTGGCCTCGCCAATCCTTGCACCCCTCTGTTTTCTGTCTAACGTACGCCGATGATGTCACGCTCATCGGCCCCAGCAGCTGCCGTAGCGGCTTTGCAAGATTTCACACACTGAGGATCACGTCCGCATGGCTCACCTGGCTGGGAAATGTGCAGCATGGCCGCCGCAACCACTCTCAGCAGACGCTTTTCCTCGACTTCCCCCCTCAGCACTGGTGGCGTTAGGGTGTTCTGCTCGGCAGCGCTGTGGGTACCCCGGGGTTCTGCTGAGAGTTTGTGATCAAGCAGCTGGAGAGTGCGGCAGAGACCCTGCCTGCCCTGGCAGTTCCGCACCCCCAAATTATCCTGATCCTCCTCTCCCGCTGCATCTAACGCAAGGTGGGGCATCTCCTCCGGTCGACCCCCCCTCGTCCCTCCCCATGCATTAATGGTCGCGGTGGGGAAAAGCCCTGCTGCAGGCCCTGGATGCCTGCAGCATCAAAGCACCTCGGGCAGCTGCAGATCCAGAGACCCTCTGGCTCCAGGCCAGCCTCCCAGTCACTATGGGGGGGATTGGCTCCAGCATCGCCTCTCTCTGCTCATCAACCGGGACCGTGTTGCTGCCGTCACTGACGGCTCACGGCACAGGGTCACCACATCGGCCCTTGGCCACACCCAGCGACTCACCTCGCTACAGGGGCCGGGGGCGGGGGACTGGTTGCTGGCCATACCCTTCAGCCAGGACCTTAGCCTCCGCCCAGGGCAATTCTCCATAGTGGGACTGCTAGAAGGAGGCACTCCAAATACTTGTCTCCCCAACCACCTCCTTGGGTGCGGTGACGGGACGGAGCTGATCGCAGCACCACCCACAACAACCTGGCTAACATAGTGGCACGTACAGCACGCAAGGCAAGTTCATCGTGCACAAGCAATCAACCCTCTATGCTGCCCACGATGACTCACCTCGCGCCCAAGTCGTACTGCGGGACAGAACCACAGGCTAGTCATGGGTAACCCTCGTCACTGTCGCCTGGCCCATGACCAAAAACAGGGACAAGAGGGCCACCAAGTGGGCCGGGTGGTCAGGGATGGGGCGAGCTGGGTCTGGGCAAGACGAAGGGCGCGCAGTGAGAGGACGTACCTCTTTCACCCCGCCTTCTCCCAACCCCCCTCTCCCACATCCCTTCTCCCCTTTCCCCCTTCTCCAGTCTCCACTTTCCCACCCCCCATCTCCTACCCACCGTCTCCACTCTTCCACCCCCTTTCCCCACTCTCACTAGTTGGAGCGCCCAACTCAGATTGCTTAGCCTCACAGAGGGAGGGCGTCGCCTCACACTCCCGGCAGCAGCATCGCCTCCCGTCAACCTCGCCACCTTCCTCACGCCCACCCCCACCCCCTCGCCCCTGAAACCCCTTGGCTCACCTCGTCTTGCGTGGGGCCGTCAGCCGCATCCATCTCCATCGAAACGCTCCCCTGCCCCCCCACCGCCCTCGTCCCCGCCGCCACCTGCTGCTCCTGCTGCCCCACTGCCCCCCTCTCCTCCGCCTCCTGCTCCTGCTGCAAGGGGAAAGAGGTGTGAGTGGGGCAGCACAGGCAGATGCGAAGCACAGAGCATGCATGAGGCAGAGGGTTGAGTATGCAAGGCACACACGAGCACCATGGAGGACGCCTGAGCCACACGACCCGCCCTCTGCTCCATCACCGCCACTGCCTGTGCCGGGAAGGGTGCGGAGGAGAGACCAGTCATAAAGAGAAAGGGTGGAAAGGGGGGTGTGGGGAGCAGTTCCGCGGCGAGGACTTGGCCAGCGCCACCTGAGGCACGAACCACTTACTTAATTGATTCCATCATCCCTTGCGCCTTTAGCCCTCACTTCCTGTCTCCCCACCCCATTCTCTTGCACATTTAGCGCTCACTTCATGGTTCCCACCCTGGATGTCCTTCATCAAACCCTTCGTCCGGTGACTGCAATCCTCACGTACTCACCTGTTGGATGCACACGCACGTCCTCTCTGCATCCGCGTAGCTACGGCAGACGCCCCTCTCCCAGCAGCTGTCGGACGCCCTCGCCTGGAAGCACACGCACATGCCTCCCCTGTAATCCCTCCCCTCCTTCTCATGCCATTTCTCTGTGTGCCCCCTTCCTCGCGCGCATGCCGGGCGAGGGGGCATGAGAAGGAGGGGAGGGATTACAGGGGGAGGCACGTGCGTGTGCTTCGAGGGCGTCCGATAGCTGCTGAGAGAAGGGCCTCTGCCGTGGCTACGCAGATGCAGAGAGGTACGTGCGAGTGCATCCAGTAAGTGAGTGAGTGAGGATTGTAGCCGCCGGACGAAGGGTTTGATGAAGGGCATCCACGGTGGAGAATTGTGAAGTGAGCGCTAAATGCGCAAGGGAATGGGGTGGGGAGACAGGAAGTGAGGGCTGAAGGCGCAAGGGATGATGAAATCGATCAAGTATATGGCTCGTGCCTTAGGTGGCGCTGGCCAAAACCCGGCCGCGGAACTGCTCCCCACCCCCCCTTTCCACCCTTTCTCTTTCTGACTGGCCTCTCCTCCGCACCTTTCGTGGCACAGGCAGTGGCGGTGATGGAGCAGCGGACGAACTGTGTGGCTCAGGCGGTCTTCATGATGCCTGTGTGTGCCTTGCATCCTCAGCCCTCTGCCTCATGCATGCTCTATGCTTCACATCTGCCTGTGCTGCCCCAATCTCACCGCTTTCCCCTTGCAGCAGGAGCAGGAGGCGGAGGAGAGGGGGGCAGTGGGGCAGTAGGAGCAGCAGGTGGCTGCGGGGACGAGGGCGGTGGGGGAGCAGGGGAGCGTTTCGATGGAGATGGATGCGGCCGACGGCCCCACGCAGGACGAGGTGAGCCAAGGGGTTTCAGGGGCGAAGGGGTGGGGGTGAGTGTGAGGAAGGTGGCGAGGTTGACGGGAGGCGGTGCTGCTGCCGGGAGTGTGAGGCACGCCCTCCTCTGTGAGGCTCAGCAGTCTGAGTTGGGCGCCTCAACTAGTGAGAGTGGAGAAAGGGGGTGGGAGAGTGGAGACGGCGGGTAGGAGATGGGGGGTGGGAGAGTGGAGACTGGAGAAGGGGGAATGGGGAGAAGAGATGTGGGAGAGGGGGGTTGGGAGAAGGCGGGGTGAATGAGGTGTGTCCTCTCACTGCGCGCCCTGCGCCTAAGTTGGAAAAGTCGCGTCCAGGGTATTATACGCCAACGTATATACGCTGGCGTGTAATACGGGATGCGCTAGAAGGGTGATTTTTTTCTACGCTGGAAAGACGCTGCCAGGGCAGGTAAAACTCTCTCCGGGCAGTGCTATCTGGAAGATTCGCATCCGCAAATGTCGCGTCACAGGAGGATCCACTAGAAATTTCACTTGTCGCACTCGCGGGAGTGCCATTAGTAGGGGTTGACATCTTAGAGCTACGAGATGGTCGAGAGATCTGTGAGAGAATGAACGAACGGAAGAACTTACCTGGATGAGAGAGTTGCGTGGTTGGCTGGTTGATGACATTTGTGAAAATGAGTTGGAGTCAGGAGGTAACAGAAGGTGCAATGCGGTTGAAATATTCCCCACGTCTCCAATTTTGCGTGTTAGGGTTGACGAATTGTTTGGGACGTGCGCACAATGTAAGTCTCGTCGCGAACTCAATTTTCGTGCACGAAACTGTTTTTTTTTTTTTTTACCGGGCAGCCCGGATAATTCCGAGCGAATATACGTGCGTATTGCGTACAGCGAATATGCGTCTACGTACATATGTTGTACGCTTCCCCTGGCTGGCGACTTTTCCAACTTAGCCCTGCACTGGCCCAGACCCAGCTCGCCCCATCCCCGACCACCCGGCAGGCAGTGAGCAAGGCCGGTGGGAGGTGGGGCCACAGGAGGAGTGGAGGGCAGCAGAATGGGGATTGTGACAGCATTGGAGGGGGAGCTGCTTCGGGAGGGGTTGAGAGGGATGCTCGGTGAGGGGGGTGGTAGAGGGGGAAGGAGGGAGCGGGAGGGGGGTGGCGGGAGAGGGAAGGCTATAGTGTAGGTGGTGGGTTGGAGAGGGGGATGGGATAGCTGGGCTGGGTTAAGGTGGCTGGGAGTGGGGATCGGGAAGGCGGGATGGGAGAAAGGGAAGGCGGGATGGGAGAAAGGGAAGGGGGAGTGAGACATTATAATGTGCTGCTGGTAGGTGGGGGGGGTATTGGGCATCAGGAAGGTGAAAAGGGAGAGCGGGGGTGGGTGGGTGGGTGGGTGGGTGGGTGGGTGGTTGGGAGGGGTCGAGGAGCCAGGAGGCCGTGAGCTTGTATGGGGCTTGTGCGGAAGCAGTGCTCTGCCGCCCCGGCAGGATCAGGAGGGCCGCGGCCACCGAGTGACGGCAAGAGGGAGGCCTGCGCCCAGCCCCGCGCCTGTTGCACTTCTCCTCGCGTTGAGATGCAGCGGCTGAGTGGCAGCGGGTGATAACCAGTGAGGCGAGTTGCGAGTGCATGGTGGCTATCAGGAAAGTGGGGACTGCATGGCCACAAGCTGCTTCTGCACGAATGCGGCTCTGCTCTCCTCTGTACCAACGTGGTACAGGTAGGTGCTCCGTGCTGTAGGGCACACCTGCGGAGACGACTTCTGATTGCAGCTGCATCAGCCCAGGCCCCACATTGGCGCGGGTTGTGTGTGTGGGAGGCCCAGTGCTGAGAGCCTGTTGGTGACGTGGTTGAAGGCTGCTATGCAGTCGCCCGGGTGTCCAACGAAGGTGACGCCATCAGCACGTTGGCGTGGGCAGCGGCGGTGGCAAAGAGGGCAGGGTGGATTCCTAGGGGTGGATCCCCCTAGACGAACGCCCCTCTCGCTAAGTAATGGTGGGTTTGTGAAGCCAGCATCGATGGTTGGGTGTAGGTGAGGTGCACAGGTAGGGCAGTCGGTGGAGCGGTGAGTGGGCGAGTGAGTGCATGATGGCGTCTCGGTCGACGCTGACTTTGAGAGGTCTGCCTGCAGCATCAAGGCCTCGGGGTGCGTGGAAAGGTAAGTTCTTGCTGCGTGTATGGTTTTTTCCGCTCCCCCTCTGACCGCCACACCAAATTGTAAGATAAGGTAGACTGAACTGCCGTGCAGCACCGGCAGCCACTGTGAAAGCAGGCTTAGCTGCCAGTCGGACTTTGGCTAAGGGCCGTGCCCCACCGTGGGGCTTGGCCAGGGCGAGAAGGCGTGAGGAGGTGGAGGCTAGTGGTGCGTGCCTGGACAGTGGCGGAGGGCATACAGACCGGGGTTGCCTCTAGGACGAGTGTGGCCCTATGCAGGCTGCCACAACGCACACCCCATCTGCTCTAGCCCCCACTTTCTCCCTCTCCCTCTCCCTCTCTCCCCCCCTCTCCCTCTCACTCTCCCTCTCCCTCTCCGTCCCCCCCTCCCTCTCACTCTACCTCTCCCTCTATTTTTGTCCAGGCGGCACCACCAACAGCAGCAGCAGGCACAGCACTAGGCGCAGTAGCAGGCGCAGCAACAGGCGGCGCAGCACAAGTGGAAGAAGCAGCAGCCACTCGTGACCCTTCTAATGCTCCTGTAGAATTAACAGCAGCAGACGCAGCAGCAATAGCTCCAGAGGAGCAGCAGCAGTAGCGGGAGCTGCAGTAGGAGGAGTAGCAGCAAAAGAAGCAGCAAAAGAAGCAGCAGTAGCACCACCAGCAGCTGCAGCGGCGGCAGTGGTGGCTGCAGCACGAGCATCAGCAGCACGAGTACAGGGAGAGGGGAGAGCGGGAGGGGTGATGATGGGGGCGAGCCAGCGGCGACAGCGCTCGAGTGCAGTGAGAGGGGGGGGTGAGCAGGGAGAGGGGAGAGGTGAACAGGGAGAGGTGAACAGGGAGAGGTGAACAGGGAGAGGTGAACAGGGAGAGGTGAGAGGGGAGCAGGGAGAGGTAGTAAAAACGAATACGGAGTCGAATACGGTTATCTTAAACGAATAATTGTCGAATACCTGGCTGTATTTGTATTTGTCCAAATACCTGTCCCTCCACGAATTCGAATACGGTTACCGTATTCCCCCGGACATACCACCCTAGGGTGCTATGATAACTACACAAAAAAAGGGGGGGGGTGTTGTCATCGGAAAAAGCTACATTGCACCCGGGTCTATACATAATGTATATTTTTTTTTATAGCATAAAAGGTTGAGAACAAAATGTACATGTTTCACGTGGTGGTAGATTGTTGGTTGGGTGCGCAAAACCGAGGACTGGGCGATAACGTTACTATCGAGGGTTAGCTGCCACATTGCAAGCTCCAACAAGGCCCACTGCCAGGCCCTGATTGGTCGAAAACACACCCCTTCGTCGCTCGACGAGGGTTCATGCAGTCACAAAGGCGGAGCGCCCGCAACAGCCTCAGCTGCCTCGCTGGGGCGGTCACGTCCTTGTACTGAGAAGGAGTTGATCCTTCTTTCTGAGCAGCGTCTCCATTCCACGAACTCGAGCAATGCTCGGCAGAGTGTGCTAACACCACCTGCCTCGTCGATCCCTTTCCTAGCATAAATTCACCTTTCAATGGCCTGTGACACCAACGTTCACTAGGCTTAGATGGCTACCTCTCCAGACTCCAGTAGCACAGTGGTTAGGCGGCAGCGACCTTCCGTCACCCAGTCACCCGCTGTTGCGGGCACACGGCGTTCGCCCTAGCCCATCCTCCCGCAGCCGTCACCCCCCGTGAGTCGCTCCACCAACGATGAACCGAGCAGCAGTGCGGCCCGTCCTCTGCTGGCGCTGCCGAAGGTGAAGATTCCTTCCTTCCCGGAACAAACACGCCCCCAGGGACCTCCGAAGCGCAACGCGGATGCCGACGCTCCTTCCCCACGTCATCGCATGACGAAACGCACTTGTCATGCGTACACCGCCAAGGAGAAGCTCCACTGGCTGAAACTGCAGGAATCGCAGCCGGACCTGTCGAATCGAGCTTTGGCCAAGCTGGCGAAGGTGCAGCCTTGCCAGATCCGCGAGTGGAAGCGGATGCGAGAGCGTCTGGCGGTTGCCTCTGGATGCCGCCGTCGCCTTATGGGAGCTGGGCGCCGCGCGAAGTACCCGTTCATGGAACGGGCCGTGTATCGGCAGTTTCTTAAGCACCGCGCTAAGGGACTCGCCGTATCGGTCCGCATGCTGCAGCAGTGGAGCGCCAAATTCATGAAGCATCGGATGCCTGGCGTGGATTGGCGCGCTTCTCACCGCTGGACTGCTCGTTTCTGGCTCGCCAGAAGTTAGCTGCGGGTAAGTTGTCCGTGAATGGATGCATCTCTATCTGGGCTCTGCTTGCACTTAATGTTTCCTCTGTTCTTTTTTGTGCGTGCAGATTGCAAGGCGAAGGTTGAATCCTTCTGGGAGTACCTGATGCGGATGCGCACCCTCCACGACTACCCGCTCGACCTGATCGTGAACGCGGATCAGACTCCGCTATTTTTGGAGATGCCGGCCGAGCGTACACTCGAAACGAAGGGAGCGCGGACGGTTCACGTGCGCACAGCGGGCTACGAGAAGGAACGCGTCATTGTCATGCTGGCAGTGACGGTGGGAGGGCTGAAGCTTCCTCCTTATGTGGTTTTCAAACGCAAAACCATCCCCAAAGTGCCCGTCCCGCCTGGTACGTATCCTGCTATTTCCTTCTTCACACTACTGGTTCTATCCATCACTGCCTCTAACCACACGCTCTCTTTGCGTTGTGAGCGACAGTTGTAATCGTCCGTACACAAGAGAAGGGGTGGATGGACGAACACCTTGTGCAGGACTGGATAACTCAGGTACTTGTGCCGTTTCTGAAGCCCATCCGCGAAGCAGCCGGACGCTGCGCGGAGGCGTTGGTCGTGCTGGATTCCTACCGCGGGCATTTGACCGAAGCCGTGGGTCAAACCATGCGCATGTTCCGGTTGACGCGGGCGGTCATCCCGGGGTGGTGCACCCCGCTTCTGCAGCCGCTAGACGTGTCCGTGAATCGCGCGTTCAAGGCCGGTACGCGTCACCGCTATGGCACTTGGTTTGAAGACATCGGGATCAACACGAGGACGCGTGTAGGTGAGAGCGTCCCGTGCTTTCCCATTGTGTTGTTGTGCATGTGTGCCCGTGTATTTCATCAAACAACTCGGTGTGTGCCTTGCCCATCCCTCAGGCAATCTGCAGAAGCCACCCGCGGAGACGGTTCTGAAGTAGATTGACGAGTCGTGGCGTGAGGTCCCAAAGGAGCTGATCAGGAAGTCCTTCGTCACCTGCGGGATTTCCACCAAGCTCGACGAGAGCGAAGACCACCTTGTCCTCGCACACCTGCGGGACAAGGGTGAGGTGGAAGTCCTGGAGGATGTGAACGACGTGGAGGAAGACGAGGTCATTGTCAGAATGAACGGACTGGAATGATTGAACTAACAGAGAAATCAGTACAAATAGCAAACCCTAGAATTGTGTACCCCATATAGGCTAACCCACTGTAGCCTAACAAACGCAACATATATAATGTTTGACACACCCCCATAGGCAAAGTGGGGGAGACCTAGGGGTCACAAGACCAGTCAAGGCAAAGCAAGGCAACAACAAGCTCAGGGTGGATCTCAAGGATACCACACAAATTCCGAGCACAAGCTAGTGGTCACAAGACCAGTTCACATGCAGGTTTATAACAGAGCATGAGATACAGTGATCACAACCTAGCAAGAGTAAACATGCAGGTATAGATATATATAGTGATCACAGTACAAGCAAAGTCAAGAGGTAAGCAAGTGAGGTCCAGTAGGCACAAGGCCTAGTAGAGTGCAGAAGCGCTGATGGTCACGAGGCTGAAGCGCCTTGGTGAACACATCAGCAGTGTTGGCCTCAGTGGCCACGTAGCGAATACAAAGCTGACCGCGCTGCTGCAGCTCTCGAGCAAGGAAGTACCGCAGGGCGATGTGCTTCGTTCTGTGCTCTAGTCTGTGCTCCTCACACAAGGCAATGGCAGCCTTGTTGTCGACGTACAGTACTGGAGGAGAACGAGGCGGCTCTCCGAGGTCGGTCAGTAGGTAGGTCAGCCAGCGTAGCTCCTGGGCAGCCATGGCTGTAGCGTAGATCTCAGCCTCGCAACTGGAGCCGAGAACAGAAGAAGAGCGTGTAGAGCGCCAAGAAACTGAGCCAGAGCCAAGGCTGAAGGTGTAACCCTGAGACGACCGCTGAGTGGCCTGGTCGTCTGCCCAAGAAGCGTCTGAGTGCCCTGTGAGCACAACTCGGTCTCGCCCTCCAAGCACAAGCCCCATGCCCGACGTACTGCACAAGTAGCGCAACACCCTCTTAGCGGCATCCATGTGCTCCTTCCTGTGACGGCCAGGAGCGACATAGCGTGCAAGGATGCTAAGAGGGTATGCAAGGTCAGGTCGAGTGCAGGTCATCAGGTACATGAGGCAGCCCACAAGCTCTGGATACGGGCCACTCGGCTCTACGGACTCATCCGAAGGCAGAGCTGAGAGCGAGTGACCGGTAGGCAGAGGAGTGGACTGAGGCGAGGAGTACGTGAAGCCAAAGCGCTGGAGAACCTGCTGCACCATGTGTGACTGAGTCAAGGTGATGGTGCGCCGTGCTCTGTCCCGGGTGATCCGCAAGCCAAGATAGCTTGTCAGCTCACCCAGGTCTGTGCACGTGTGTCTCCTCTGCAGCTCCAACTTCACGTAGGCGAGTCCTGCAGTGTCAGCAGTGGCAAAGACCAAGTCGTCGACGTACACGAGGATGTAGAACGGCGGCAGCGAAGTGTCAGTGCGCAGGAACAGCGACGGGTCAGCTGTAGAGGGCGCGAACCCAAGAGCCGCAAGTGTAGTCCTCAGTGTGTCGTGCCACTCACGCGGAGCCTGGCGGAGACCGTAGACCGGCCGCTGAAGCCTCCACTGGGTACCAGGAGGAAACGACCCAGTGAAGCCAGGTGGGCGGCGCAGCCAGATCTCCTCGTGCAGGCTGCCCTGCAAGAAAGCAGTGCTGAAGTCAAGTGAGTGAAGCTCGTAGTCGCGGTGAGCGGCTATGTGCAGCAGCACCCGAAGAGTAGTCATCTTCGGGGTGGGGGAGAAGGTCTGGAAGAAGTCAACTCCCTCTCGCTGACTGAAGCCTCGAGCCACGTAACGCGCCTTGAAGACAGGCGGAGAACCCGGCGGCCGCTTCACCCTGAAAATCCACATGCCACTGACGATGTTCACCCCAGGAGGGGGAACCTCGTCGACGTAGGTGCGTGTGGACTTCCAGGAAGCCATCTCGGCGTCCATGGCTGTCTGCCACTGAGAGGAGTAGGGACCCGCCATCGCCTCAGCGTAAGTGCGTGGGGTCGGGATGTCTGGTACATCCGGGTCTCCCTCAGGGGCAACTAGCAAGGACACGAGACGGGGCAAAGCAGCAGCAAGACACTGGAACTCCTCCTGTCTGTCCTCAAGGACGTCCGTGCCAAGAGCACACGCACCCCCGACGGACAGAGGACAGACAGACTCAGACTCAGCAACAAGGCTAGCAGCGTAGTCTAGACGACAGGCAGCAGCAAAGTCAACCAACTCAGCGACCAGAGCAGACGCAGTCGAGGACTCAAAGGTAGGGTCAGTGACAACAGTAGCGAGGAGACGCGTGACAGTAGGGTGCTCAGCACGG